AATTTTATAACGTTTTTGTATTATTATAAATTCTTTGAAAATGACTAAATTAAATAAGTTGAAAATTGGCTTCTTGAACCCCGGGTCTCTTGGTACTAGGCACGACGAATTCCTAGCTGCTATGGCGCATCACTTTGTAGACATAATGGCTATCAATGAAACATGGCTTCGGACAGGGGAGGAAGGCCGGGCGCCTTCTGTTCCAGGGTATCGACTGCTTCACGTACCCCGACCTCTCGAAGTTCGTGCGCGTGGCGGCGGTGTGTGTTTTTATTTGAGACGGGGCTTGTCGTCAAAAATTATTCAACATCCTATTTGTCCCGCGGTGGAGCAGATATGGTTAAATATTAAAATTAACGGCAAGTCCCTTGTCTTCGGTACTGCTTATCGTCCCCCATGATTGAGCGTGACATTATTTCTGGACGCGCTGAGCGAGTCCTTGGGTTCTTTTGTAGGCTACGATCAAACAGTACTGTTTGGGGATTTTAATATCGACATTTTAAATAAAAATTGTGTTAGTACCAAAATGCTTTCGAACTTCCTAACATGCAATAACCTCGTGCAATATGTTGAGGAACCAACACACTTTACTGAATATATATGTGAGACACTGTTAGATGTTATATGTTCAGATGCATCGGTGTCATATATAAGTGTGGACTATATTAGTGACCTCAGTAGTCATGCCTTTATTGTATGTGAACTTGACATTCCCAAGCCTAAGTTTCAGCCTGAAAGCGTCACGGATAGAACTTTAAGAGATATGGACATAAACCTTTTCAACCAAGATTTAAAACAAATTAACTGGCACTGTACGTCCTCAGATAACATAAACGATATGATTGATTCTTTTAACAAAAATTTATTAAATATCTTTAATTCTCACGCCCCTCCTAAAACTGTCTAGTATATAAAAAAAATATTATCCATGGATAACGCATAACATAAGATGTATGATGAGGACACGCAACGAGGCTCAAGTGAGAGCCCGGAAAACAAAACTTGCTCCACATAAGGATTATTATAGGGAACTAAAATCAATAGTTAATAAAGCGATAGTTTCAGAAAAGATTGCCTACTTCAAATTTTATATTAATTCAAAACTAAATCAACCTAAAATAATGTGGAAGCACATTAAACGCCAAAACGCCAAGTTCAAATAAAAAGTAAGGATACTTCTTTGCCATCCCATTTCAGTGACCCCGATGCTTTAAACAATCATTTTCTTAATATTCCTGTTAAAAATGACGTCTCATTGTCTCTTCTCACTTTCTTTGAATTTAATGGCACTAATGATAACTCTTTTTATTTTAAAGGAGCCTCGGAGGATGAGGTGGTTAAAGTTATAAACTCTGCAGTCTAATGCAGTGGGGTGCGATGGCATATCTCTTGATATGTTAAAGTTATTACCTAAAGACGTTATTACAGAAATAACATTCATAATTAATAAATCTTTTGCGACAAATACCTATCCGGATCTCTGGCAAAAAGCCATCGTTAAACCTATACCAAAAACTAGTAACCCTGTTTGTATGTCAGATCTCAGGCCAATTAGTATTCTACCGTGCCTTTCTAAAATAATAGAAAAGCTTGCATGTAATCAGCTAACAAAGTACCTTGAAGCAAATAACATCCTTCCTGAGCTGCAGTTTGGCTTTAGAAAGAAGCACAGCACTACCACAGCAAGCTTATAGAGGTCGTGGATGATATACTGACTGCACAAGCCAGTGGTGAGGGTACTATTTTAACATTACTTGATTTCTCGCGTGCCTTTGAAACCCTCAATATCCCATTACTTCTTTCAAAATTATATTTTTATGGTTTAAGCAGAAACGCGACCCAATGGTTTGCCAGTTACTTTAAAAATAGGTCACAGCAAGTTGAAATACAATTAAATGGAAAAGGTAAAGCTATTTCTGGGGAGCGCCCTGTGAACCGAGGAGTACCGCAAGGATCCATTTTAGGTCCCTTACTTTTTATAATATATAGTGCAGACATTATTAAAAATATAGAGTATTGTAAGTACCACATGTACGCTGACGACTTACAGATATATATATCGTTTAAGCCTTGTGATGTTCAAGTAGCAGTGACAAAATTGAACTCGGATTTGGGTCGGATATCTTTGTGGTCAGAGCGTAACGCATTGGTTCTCAATCCAAAAAAGTCGCAGTACCCTATTCTAGGATCGTCAATTCAAGTAAAAAAGATCACACTAAGCCACCCTGCCATTATTGTAAACAACGAACCTATTGTGAGAGTCTCTGAAGTCAGAAATTTGGGGGTAATAATGGACGACAAACTTCGTTTTGTGAAACATGTAATGAATATTGCACGTAACTGCTTTTATAGGTTGAAAGTAATTTATCGTATTCGTGAGTACCTAAGTGTCACCTTACGTATACATCTCTGCGAGTCTATCGTGCTTTCAAAATTCAATTACGCGGATTCTCTCATAGGCCCACGACTATTATCTCGAACACAGCAAATAATACAGCGGGTACAGAATGCCTGTGCACGCTTTTGTTTCAATGTACCACCACGTGCACATGTAACCCCTTTCATTAATAACGCTAGTATTTTAAAAATGGACTGTCGCAGGCGACTACACTTTGCCTCACTTTTGTTTGGAGTTATTAAAAATAAAGAACCTTTATATTTATATAATAAGTTGATTTGGTCTAAAGATCAAAATAAGCAGTATAATACCAGATCATCCAATTACAAGTTAGTATATCCTTTCTACCGGTCGGCCGCTTTCAGAGGTAGTTTTAAATATAATGCCACTAAATGTTGGAATAACCTCCCGCCTCCACTGTGTGACCTGAAAACAATTAGTGGGTTTAAAATCAAATACAGGTTACACTTACTTTCGGAACAAAAAAATACCGATCTATAAAATAAACTGGTAGGAGGTTAAGTTCTTTCAACACGTCAGTAATCTCAGTCCCATAAATTATGTAGATATTTTAATTTTCATTTTTTTCGAGAATCATTTTCTTACCTTTATTCTTTAGCCAACGTTTATTCCGCATTCTTAATAAATAAAATTGATATATTTAGAAGGAAAACGTTAATTCTATTTTGTACTTACCTTCATTAGACTAATGATATCCACTATTTATGTGAATAAAAATTTAAAAACACATATTATTTTATATATTCCGCGTCGCATTATAGCATGTGCATTGAGGCAGCCGTCCGAGTTAGGTCGAAGTGCGGGCCGGACTGAAAACCAGTGTCGGGATCAGAGCAATTCGTGTTTCTGTATCTCGATTTTTACTGAGTCCTGTCCATTTCACTGTCTTATGCTGCTACACAGACTCATTTTATATTATTTTTACATTTTTGTTAATTTAGGGAAATATTGTTTTATTCTCTGTTTAATTCCAATTTCTTGCTTTGTTTTGTATCTATTGTGATTAGACCGTGAATAAATGTTTTTTCTTTCTTTCTTTCTTTCTTTCAAATCTGCAAAACGCTGTCGGCCATATTAGCCCATGTCGTGACGTCACTGATCCAGCCTAAGGATATTAGTGTTCTGTGTCACTGATTAAGAGAACTAGCTAAAGTGCTGTGTTATTTCGAAATTTTTAAGTTTAAAATTACGATCATTGAGTTTTATTCAAAAGTAGAAAAGGCATCATTCGAGCAGACGAATTCGTAAAAATAGGAAATACTAATCTACCCAGGATAAATAAATTGATGGTGGCAAAATTTTTTGCGTGCAATCCCAATTTTTGTTCTGCCGAGTTGAGGATGTTAAAACATCAGTGTAAGTACGTATTACGGACTTTTGTTTATACAAAAACACAATACCAGGTCAGAGTGCATTTTGATAAAACATAGTAGCTATCATAGTTTAGTTTATCTATAATTACAATCATTAGCAATCATTAGTTATAATATCTAAGTTAACGTAATTAATTACAAAATTCGACTTGCGATACCTTTCACCTCAAGATGTTTTGTCTTGTATTAAACGATAGTTAAATAAATATAAATCATACTTACATCAAAATTATCTTCACAGAAGTGTAGTTTAGATCTTGTAAACACTGCCTTCGGGTCCCTTCTTGCCAGTTTTAACCAAGTATTTCTCATATTTCAATCAGTTGGCACTTTAATCCATAACTTTCCTGTCTTTTGATGATAACCTATTATTAAACATTACAAAGTATATTATTCCCTTGCAAAATCGGCAGAATCGACACACAGTCGTCGATGACTGTGACATCACGAGTTGAACAACATGTTGGCTGGCGTTTTCACGCGAAAATTATATAAAAATTATAGTGGTTCATTATCACTCTAGGATTCATTCAAAACAATTTTTGAAAATGGGAAAATACCCTATTTTGCATTTAGAGTTAAGTATTTAATTGTGTGTTTTTTTTGCACCCCTCTGATATTTACATAATTTTTGTTTAGGAATTAACGCGCATAGCCTCTCCAGTCGGTTGATACTCAAAGGAACTATTAGAGAAAACGACGTCGAAATAAGTGATTTGATGTTGACATAACCTCAAGTTAATTTGATCGTTTGGGCGCCTTATGACCTTAAGTAGCTCTCGTCATCAATTGTTCGCTGGGTTGAATTGTCGTCAAAATATCTTAAAACTTCGCTACGCATCAGCATATTGTGAAGAAAAAATATATAAAATTGAATATTCCGAAAGAAATGATAGGCTCAGAAGGGCTAGAAACCAGAGCCGTCAAGCCAGTTAAATAAAAAAAATCTGTGTATGGTGATTATTTTTAAAATTAATGTTGCATCTAAATTATTTTTTATTTTTTATAAATGTCGCATTGCACTGTTTATAAATTAGTGATAGCTGACAGCATCTGGAGATAATAATATGGATACCGGTGTGTGTAGAATATGTTTAGGCCAATCTGCCGCCGTTTCTGTTTTTAGTAAAGAAGATGATATTCAATACAGTAATAAAATAATGAAATGCGTCAACATAAATATTACCGAAGGTGATGGTCTTCCAACCATGATTTGTAGCAACTGTATTAATGAGCTTACGATAGCTTACCAGTTCGTGCTTAAATGCGAAGCGTCCGATAAGGCACTACACTCCTTTCATACAAGTTATTTTGAACAAATTCAACCAAAAATCGAAATAGACATCGAACTTGAAGACATTAAAAGGGAATTGAATGATCACGATAATTATGACCATTTCCTATCTGATGAAGTGCCTAATGAGGTTGCAACTGGCGAAATTAAAAGCAAACGGAAGGAAAGAGTTAGAAAAAAATGCAAGAGAAACAAAGTTGGGCCAATACAGTGTGTTATTTGTGGGCTGCTTGTCACTAGCCCGTCAGCTATGCAAAATCATATGCGCACACATACTGGTGAAAAACCATTTAGTTGCTCATTCTGCGACTCCAAATTTCCCACCAAAGGTTCTTTAAAACGACATAATGATACTTACCATGCTGAGCGTGAAAGAAAATTCACTTGTGAAACATGTGGCAATAGCTTTTTTAGAAAAAATGACATAATAACACATATGAGGGTGCACTCTGGTGAAAGACCATACGTGTGTCCATTCTGCTCTAAGCGGTTCCGGCAAGTGGCGTCTCTTATCCGGCACAAAAGGACACATACTGGTGAAAAACCTTATTCATGTCCAATATGTGATAAGAAATTTGCTGATAAAAATCTTGTGCGGAAACACCAAAGTGTGCACAGTGATGAGAAGAATTTCAGCTGTCACCTATGTAACAAATCTGTAAAATCTAAAACTGCATTAAATGCTCATTTAAGTCTACATACGAATGAAAAACAGAATATCTGTAGTTTCTGTGGCATGGCATTTTCAATGAAAGGTAATCTGCAGACACATATTAGGAGGGTGCATTCAGAGAGGTCTGGACAATGCACTGTGTGTTTAAAGACATTTTCAGACCTAGAGGTTCATATGCGTAAGCACACTGGAGAGAAACCTTTCATATGTGCTTCGTGCAGTCAAGCATTTGCAACAAAACGAAGTCTTGCACATCACATGGTGTTTAAACATGAAAATGCCGCAAAATTCAAATGTTCAATAGGCGAATGTACAAAATCATTTCCAACAGCAACAATGCTGGAGTTTCATCTGTTAAAGCAGCATACTAATCACACACCATACATTTGCCAGTATTGTTCCAGAGGCTTCTTTAGAACAAGTGATCTCTCACGACACCTTAGAGTCAGTCACTTAGATGTCCCGATGAAGTCAACATCTTTGAAACCTTTAGTTGTGAAGCCATGTACATTACAGTATTCTTAAATATCATAACCTTCATACTGTACTTGTTCTAGTCATTAATTAAGTTTATTTAGTGTCCAAGAAGACTGAAAACTAATTATAAGTCTGGTGTGAAGTTAGGTGTACGTCTAATATGTGGTAGTAAGTAAGGTAAGTAGTGGTCCACCCTGTAGCTATATTATGGTTGTATGTCCTTCAGGGTGATGAGTCTTAATCAAGGTTTAAAGTAAGTATTCATGGGCTGCAGTATTCTTTTTTTTCCTAGTTTGGCAAATTCCAATGGATTCTGCCAGCGTCAAGTATTTAGTGAAAGGGCCGCAGTATTCACTTAACATTAGTTAGACAGTTAACAGTTTGTCGTACTTGTTTTATAAAAAATGTACTTTTAATCAGATTCTTTGAGAATTATTTAATATTGATTACAAATATTGCACTAAGGATTGCAGTTTTTAAGAGACAAAATATAGTATTTCTGAAAGAGGCAACTTTTTAGAAAATATAGTTAGATAAAAATATAACATTCTTAGTATGTAAGACAAAACTAGAAAACAATGTTCTGTATGTATACTCTTTTGTAATAATGGCATTGAGGGTTAAAAAAATTGAGTTGCATAATATAGTATTTGGCATAATTTTTATGTTTCTTTAATTATATTCTAAAATAAGCAATGTATTATATGTATAGATGGTAACCCAGTAGCTAAATCAAGCTAAATATATAAATATAATTGTGCACCTAAACTGGTGAAACACCATTTAGCTGCTCATTATAATTTTCAGTGGTTGACATTACCATCAGGTGAGACGCATGATCGTTTGCCCCCTATTCTACATACATAAACAACATAAACACTCACGCCTGTCACCCAGAGGGGTAGGCAGAGACTACAGACTTCCATTTGGCACGATCCTGACACACCTCTCTCGCCTCCTTCACATCCATACACCTACGCATGCATGCTCGTCGGTTAAGGGTACTCCTAATTTGGCCCGTTTTCAATAAATCGCCAATTTGGTCGATAAATTTTCGCCTAGGACGTCCCTTTCCGACTCTGCCATTCATTTCTGCAACATAAATTTTCTTTGTCACTCTTTCCTCATCCATTCTTTCCACATGACCAAACCACCGAAGCATTCCTTTCTTAATCCTGGTCACAACATCATCTTGCAAACCACACTCTTCTCTTATCACACAATTTTTCACCCTGTCATTCAGATTCAGCCCTAACATACTCCTTAAAGACCGCATTTCTACTGCATTTATTCTACTCTCGTGCTTCTTCTGCCATACCCAACTTTCACTACCATACGTTAAAGAAGAGACCAACACAGCATTGGGAATTGCCATACGTGCCTTTTTTGACACATTTTGACTCTTCACAATAGAGTGCAGGGCTCCATTTACTCTGTTTCCTGCGTTCACTCGTCGTTCTATATCCTTATCATATCTCCCATCCCTGCTAAATACGCAACCCAAATATACAAACTCATCTACTTGCTCGATCAACTCCCCTTCTATTCTTATTTCACATATCGTTTTACTTTCATCTCTTTCAAAAAAAAATATAAATCTTCTGTAGGTGTGTTTGTCACTGAACTCTTGAACGGCCGGACTGATTTTCATGAAATTTGTTGTGTGTGTGAGCGGGTCCCCGGATGGTTTAGATGCACAATTGGACCCGTTAGATGGTGCTGTGGTCAGCAGTTAGCATTTGACCCTATCCGTCGACCCGTGACAAGAGGTAAAGCTTGTGATGATCACCTAATTATTTATACATGTATATATAAGAAAAAATTATCAAACAGACCAAGTATTTTTTCTATTGTCAGCTATGTGTATGTTTATTCCTCATTGTTAATTGTGTAACACTACTGTATTAAAATGAGTTTTTTTTTTGAGAAAAGTGTTATTTTTAATGCGGGTATTTATTATAAATAATCCTTTTTTATCAACCGACTTCAAAAAAAGAAATGTTACCTCAGCACTTTTTTCTGGGTGAAGTGAACCAATTTTGATGATTCTTTTTTATTTGATAGTATAAATTCCCGTATAAATTTAAAAAGAAAGGACCAGTAGTTTTTGAGTTTTCCTAATGATGCATATACTCGTATGATTGACATCAACTACATTGATGACATTCTATTTATTTATTTATTTATTCGTATGGATCTCCAACAGTTGTACATATTAAATGCACATGCTTTACATCTATAAATTACTATGTACTACTAATTATAGGAGAACACATTATTCTAAAACATGGCTCGAATAATCATAATATTCCTGCTCGCACGCAAAATACGTGTTTAGGAGTTACGTAAAATAGCTCGTCGTAATCTAATCTAAGAAACATAGTTGTCATTTCTCTTGCTTTATGTTCTTATGATATCTACAGGTTCAGGTTATGTGATGGATCCCATATTTACAGCATTAAGGTAAGGTAAGGACAAACATGCGTGCGAGATTCGAACTCGCGGCCCTCAGTGCCACAACTAATTGCTCAACAGTAAACCACTACGTCATGGGACTAGGCCGCCAGTGGTGGCCGTCAGGTGGTTCCTCAATAGAGCGGTGTAGTCTTAAGTCTACCGCGCTTCTGCATCTAGAGGCGTAACACAAAAGCGCGGTAGCTTCTGCATTACCCCTCTAGATCAACGCCACTAAAGAGAAGGAGGAATGAACAGTTTATGTCGGAATTTGAGTATCGGGTTTTCACACGCTTTAAAACGTAAGCTATTATAGGATGTAATTCCATTTTTACCTGGAGCCTTAGCGGTTTGAAGGTGATGGAGAATATTGATATCCGTTGAATCATCGGAATAGTGTAGGTATATATGAACCCTTCACAGAGTTCGATTCCTATCGGCACTAGCGATATTTTCGATAGCAATTTTATGCTTATTTTTCTAATCACATATTCAGGGTTGAAGGTAGGTAAAAATCTTGAGAAAACTTGCATGGGTGTCGATAAAAATATTTTGAAGTCATGTAAGTCGAATTCGACGGTGAAGGTAAAAAAAATGCAGGTTTTCTCACGATGTTTAGGTTTTTTTATAGGAGAGGAGCAAACGAGCATACGGCTCACCTGATGGTAAGTGATTACCGCCGCCCGTGAGCAACTGCAACACCAGGGGAATTGCGGATGCGTTGCCGGCCTTTTAAAACGGAGTAGGCTCTTCTTGAAGGTCGAGGAAGGAAGAGATTTTTCCGGACCGATACGACTTAGTCGTATCGGTCCGGAAAAATCTCTGGTGGTAGTCGATTCCACAAGGAAGTCGTGCGAGGAAGAAAATTTCTTTTAAATCGCACGGTGATGAACCGCCAGTCATTCAGATGGTATGAATGGTATCGCGAGTTTTGTCGCGATGTGCGATGGTGAAATTGTGCGGCTGGAATTAGTCCGAACAATTCCTCAGAGCACTCCCCGTGATAGATGCGATAAAATACGCAGAGATGCAACATCTCTTCGCAGTGCCAGTGAGTCAAGCCGATCTGAAAGAGTTCGGTCGCCGACGATTCGAACAGCTCTGCACTGTATGCGATCAAATGGAAGAAGCTGGCACTGGGGAGCCCCGTCAATACTGTATTCCTGGCGCTGAAATACTGTCCCGCTCTGCTGAGCACGCCAAGCCTTTTAGAGTCCAATTTGGCCTTCTCTTCCAAGTGACCACGAAACTGCACGTCACTCGATATATCGACGGTCGACGCCGAGGATTCCGATACTGGCTAGGTACCTTCACCGCCGAACACGTGATAAATAATAAATATCATTAAAAAGAAAAATATTTTCAAGACGTGAAATTTTACATAACATAAAACACACATTGAGGCATCGAAGCGCAGACTAGCAAGGGGCTTGGCCCCAGGCGGCAAACAGCTGTGGGATGTATTTAGGAAAAATGTTGCTGCCACAGTCGGTCGTAATTTCCAGCAGATATATCTCTGGCATCGACTAGAACCTCGGTTTTTCGCTCAATGGCCTATTCAATATGAGCTGTATTAACACACTACGTTGCGTAGTTTTCTCCGCATGCATTTGGAGATCTATCTGTTCAGTTGCAACCGTAATGTTATTATTTGTTGAAGACTGCAGATTTATTTTCCATCTAAGAGCCATGAGATAAAGAGTGTGGTCAGAGTTTTTGGGTTCTATTGCGACAGGTAGAGCTTCCATTTATAATGTCTTTTGCAATGCAAATTCCTAAGCATAAAAAACAATTTTGTAAATCGAGTTGAAAGTTTTTGATTATAGGACGGAGGGGACGAAGCGTTGACGACTTTATGACCATGCGATGTCACGTCCATTGGAAAATATAGATAATGTTAGGAATCAAGCTTAATGTTAAAATTCAGTATGCCTCTCACCATTCGATGATCGATGCGTTTTTGTAAATCGTTACCCCCACACTAAGATTTCCTCCTGTATCGTGGAGGCCAAACGTAAATTGCATAAAGACAAATATCCAGACCTGGTACAATTATTTGTAGCCCTACAAGCACTTGTTCCGTGTAGGATTCAGTGCTAAAGAGCTGAAGTTATGAAGTCAATCTCATTTTGTTGTCGCACAGGTGGACGAATAATCAGACACTTTCTTTACGTACTCTTTCACCACCGAATGATTTGCTGGATTCAAGAATATTCGTGTCCTGCCCGTCTTCATCATTACATAACAACCTATTAAAATTCCACTACTTAGCCATGCCTCATCCATTATAGCCTATAAAGTCCACTACTGATCATAGGCCCCCCCTACAGATTGCCTCATGTGGGGATTTCGCAATGGTCACAATGCTAGGCGGGTAGGTTGACAGCCGCATTTTTTTGTAACTTGTGAGTTGTATAAGGAAGATTCTGTTGACAATCTCTTAAGACACATTTTTAAGTGGCTCATGCTGCCACATTTTTAGTAGTATAGTTGTAGCGCGAATGGATTAATGGATTGGCTCGACCTGGTAAGGACCACGCTCTCACTCTCTTCTCTCTGTGTTTCGTGTGGTGAGTGTAGAGAACCGGATACCCTTTTTACTGGAAACGAGGCATTCCATCTTAGTCCTCACGAGTGACAACGCATCTGCATTTTCGATCGCACGCATCTGCGATTTCGAGATTTAATCGAGGATATATGTGGATGTCTATGGGCCACAGTAACCACTTACCATCAGGTTGACTGTGCGCTCGTTTGTCACCCTATCCTATAGACACCCACTGGACGATCTACAGTCGATATTCTTACACCGCCACTAGAGGATTTGCGTCATAGTATGGATATATATGCCAATAGTTGCCACGCTTATCAGTTGAAGTATTAAGCAATGTTTTTTTTAATTTTCTAGCTATTATTAGAGACGTTGCTGCTTATCTCTTGGTTTGTTTCCCTCTGTCGCCTCTTACATCCACGGGGTGACATGGGGTGGTGTTCTTACACCACCACTACCCAGTCCCTGTCTTCAAACCTCAGATATTGAGATTGTCATATTTAAGCACGTGGTATAGAGTAATTAATTACATTACAGAAATTAAACAGCAGTTAACTTTTCTTATTGTTATATGTTCTGAATACTGAGATATAAATATCTACTGTTTGTAATTTACATTATTATCCTCTTATGAATTGATGAATTAGATTGTTATATAAAATTAAAAAAAAATCGAATTTTATATATTTTCTTGCTCTTAGTGTACGGTTACATGGTAAAATGTTAAGAAATTTTGATTATTTATTCAATTTGTTATATTATGTAGTTATTGACAATAATCGTAATACATAATATGTCAATTGTTACCTACTTATATTTTCATTGAGTAGTGGTAGATAAAAAATTATACGTAACACAAAAAATAACACTTAGGAGCAACATATGATATGGGTCAAAATAGGATTAGTCTTTATTCTCATCAATTTTTCTTTATTTTTAAAGTAGACTTTATTAAACACTGACTGCTAAAAGTGGTCACATATTTTGCTTAACAGATTCAATGCCTTGCCCGCTTATGGGCGGGCGAAGGCTTTTTTATTCACATGCCGGGTCCACCCACGGGCGGGCGGATTTCAAACCTTATGTAACGACAGTGTGTATCAAAAGTTGTTTAAAAGATAAACACAAACTGATTTATACTTTTATTCGGGCAGCTTACAATTATTATTATTATACAAATGAATGCACAAAATCATCGCTCACGGCTTTTATATCATTCGCTGGCTGGCGGTTACTTCACCTCCTCCGACTCGCAATTTGGCGGAGCAAGGCTCACGTGGCGGGGAAGTGACGTAACGGCTGGGCGTGGCGGGCTTGATAGCCGGCTTAACGGCTAGCTAGCGACATCTAGCGTTACACACGGCCATCCTGTAACAATTGCTCCCGCAATGGAAGCAACAAAACTATGATTACAAGTCAGCTCAAGAAACAAGTTGAATTACGGGGAAATGAATTTTGATCTAGCTCTCAAGAAGATCTAAGAGATCTTCGGTTTCCAATTGTTCATCCACACTACTGGCGCTATCGGAAATAGAGGCAACGCTACGATATGGTCGTAAGAAAGCTGCGGATACTAGGCCTGTAAACTTCTTGTATCCTCCAAGACCTTTTATACTTAGTTTATAGCGATCGTTACCTAGCTCCTTAATTATCACATATGGGCCAGAATACATATCATCTAACTTAGAATTTACCCTATTGCCGCTAGTAGTCGGCGCCTGGCGCCAAAGTACGTAATCACCTTTTTTGTAAATCTTACTATTTTTACGCCTCTTATCAAAATTACGTTTCATTTTATTGCTAGCTATTCTAATCCGATTAGTAGCCCTATTGCGTCTAGATTGCACTGGCTCAGAGACCCGATCTGGGATGGAGACATCACATACTGACCTACCTACACGAGCAAACATTAAATCGTATGGCTTATAACCTGTTGTGTCATTAATAGTATTATTGATACCCCATATTACATTTGGTAAACTATTGTCCCAATTACGAGAGGCCTCGCTCGGTTCCGTGGCTCTCAACACATCGAGAATTTTGCGATTAGTGCGTTCTACCTGCCCATTAGACCTAGGACACGAAATAGTTGTTAACGTGTGTTTAAACTGCTTTTCCGTTGCAAACTTCTTGAAATGTCTACTCGCAAAGGCCTTACCATGATCGGAAACTACGTGATCGATGCGTTTTAAAACTGATTGTCTCTATGGAATTGACGGTACGCGTAGGCTCAGATACAACAAATTTAGAGCAGGCATCTTTCAATACTAACATGTACTGGTACCCTTTTTTTATTTTGCTAAAAGGGCCCAAAAGATCGATATGTACCATTTTCATTGGTTCGATAGGTTTTGGAATTGGATGTAATTTGCCTTCTTTCCTACCGTATTCCCCTTTACCGTACGCACAATGTAAACATGACGTCACATATTTTCGTATAAATCGGGACATTTTTTGGAAACCAGAAATCATTTTTTATAAGTTCTGAGCATCGTTTTAATCCTACATGGCCAATATCGTCATGATGCATTTGTAATATTCTCCATCGCGCGAAGTTTGGCACAACTAATCTGGTACCGTAAAGAGTTTTACGATAAAGCTTACCATCGACGATTACATAATTATTCATATATATCACTATCTGTGCATCCACTTTACAGTAAATCAATAATACGTTTCGACTTTTCATCTTGATCTTGTACTGTTCTAAACCAATCGTTTACTTCCAAACGGTACACATTCACGGCATCTATCAGATTCCTACGTAAGGCGTCTATATGTTTCATACGCTCACCCGGTCTGTAGTCAATAGTAATATCATAGTCTTGAATTAAAAGCCACTAGCGAGAAAGAAGAAGAAATTCCGTAAAGAAAAAAACCTCACGCTCCCCACTCCGACGGGCACGGAGTTGTGGCGTTGAAAGCCGTGCATCGTCTAACGTCGTTTCAGTTCGGCAGACTTCGGCACTCGGCAGACTTCGGCACGATGTTTGTGTGCGTGCGACTAGACGTATGCGTGTACACTAGCTGCTAACTCAATGATAAAAATTCCTGAATAACCTACATGTATTGTAAGATATTAAAAATATTTTAAACAATATTAACTTCTCATTTATTCAATAAGAGAAAAAAATTGTTCTCTTATCGGTCACCACGCTCAAAAAGTGTAACTTGATTTAATATCAAAGACTTAACTGCATAAATAAAATAAATAAATAATTATAATTGCATAAGTTGATAAAAAATGCTATGCAATAGCTTCACCGCGGCAGTCACCGAGTGCCACACGTATTTTTTTTTGTTAGTTCAATAAGCGTACGAGCTATTATTGCAAAGTTATGGATGAATTTCCTAAAATAACTACATACTTGACCAATAAACTGACGCACTTCATGTACATTACTCGGAACAGGAAATCGAGACACAGCTGCCAACTTAAATTCACTCGGTTGAATGCCATCACAGGATATTTCCTAACCTAAATAAGAAATCCTTTTTTGTAAAAATGAACATTTGCCCATGTTTAATTTTAAATTCTCCGTTTGCAATTTGTTTAGAACTTTATCCAATAAATCTAAACCTGTTTGAACATCGACTGACGGTAAAGTAAGCGATCGTCGAGGAATGCTAATACTTCTGCCGTTCGTTTGATGAAATTATTGAACTTATTTTTATCTAAATGATTCACTTTGGAATTTTCTAAACTATCTACGACCTTGTTTATTAAACGCTTAAACACCGAGGGACCGTTGGCGAGACCGAAAGGAACTCTATTATATTCAAAATGTCCATGCGGAGTGACAAAGGCTGTTTTGTGTGTATTTTCAAGATGAATGCTAAGCTGATGGTACCCTTGGGCTAAATCAAGACTGGTGAAGTATTTCTTGCCAGATAATTTAGAAATTTGCTCATCGATATTAGGTAATGGATATCTATCGCGGATAGTTAAAGCATTTAGTGCTCGATATCGACACATAGACGACTATCTCCGTTCTTCTTCTTAACTAAAACAACAGGAAAAACATAATCTGATTCGGATTCTTTTATAATGCCCGCCTATAATAGCTCATTAATTTTTAGTTTAACAATCTCATGTTCGTGATTTATTTATTTATTTATTTTATTTATTTATTTATTACACAATTATAACATCATTACAGTTATTAAACCAATGCGATGCTATAACTAACCTAAATATAAGAAAACTACTGACTAATAAATAATGGTATCTAGTATGAAATTTATCAAATTGATGGTAAAATAAAATACTAATTAAAAACATTACAATTTTCGACGCATTTGTATGCTCCAATTATGAATTTCGTCTCACTACATGCAAATATGTCAATATCCTGTGAGATGATATTAACATAGTGTATAGCCCGTGACAATGTTGCATTTTGAAGCAACTTCGTCCTAGCAGCGGGCACGAGGAGTAATGGGGGACGACGACGAGAACACACGTAATTATTAGGCACCCGCAGCTTTAACGTAGCGAGCACATCTGGGTGATATATCCATCCACGTAATACCTTCCACACATATTTAATAAGCGTGATGTCTCTTCTCACACTTAAGCGGCTGTAACCAACCATCCCCAGTACAAACAGACTCTGATACATCAGTGGAAAACAAGGATAGATTCCGTACTGCTTAAAGTATAAAAATCGCATGAATTTATTTTGAATTTTTTCAACCATGACACTATACTTCTTTTCATGTGGATTCCAAATACTTGCGTTCGTTTCAAGTTGACTTCTCACGAGAGCATTGTATAAAATTTTAACAGTTAACAAATTCTGAAAATCCCTACACCGCCTTAATATAAATCCGAGATGTGCTAATCTATAAGGCCTACGGTGTACTGGTTCAGCTAGCAAAACAATTACTATACAGAGACAACAAACCGATCAATTGATTCCGATCAGATATACTTATTGGGCCTACCCTGATTTTATCCAAGTCTACCCCACCAATGGCATAATTATCAATACCCAAGGCACTCAATTGTGAAATACATTTGGTATATGGCATTTTGCAAATATTGGCATGTTGACTGACCTGGTTATTTACGCTTGGTTCCTGGCAGCTCTCGACAAGAAGTAGGATGGTTCCTTCCTTCCAGGTGATGTCCTTGGCTGTTGACGATCTTGAGGTAGCCTTCATTTCTTCGTAGAAGCGTTGCTGGCAGAGATAATGATATTTCTTGGAACTCGAAATGTCTCGCAGGTGTTAGTACGTGATTACTGGCCGCATTGCCAATAATTTTAACCTTGATAATTGAGATACCTGGTGGTAGACTTCACTTGCAGCAGTGACGACACGAAATCTGCTGTTAGCTTCAGTAACATCAAGATTGGAAAGGAAATTGAGCTCCTTCTGAAGTGTAGCTTTGCCTTCATGTACAACTAATGACACACCTTCAATGTTTATAACCGGTTGCCCGATCAAAAGATTTACGCCGCTCATTTCGGCCTCGGTTAGGTATGCGTTACAGGTCATATGCAGGTTATCAATTTCAAGCTCAAACTCGACTTCGCTGTTACTATTTATGCAACCGCCAGAGAATCCCTTCAAAATAACGGAGACAGGCTTAGCTTCGAGACCCAGGAGAGTAGCTACTTCACTCGTGAGCACATTTACCAGACTGCCCGTATCGATGTACGATTTCACGAAAGCACCGTTGATCTTTGCAGTTTTTTGTAAACATCGTTGTAGTTTTGAAGTAAATTTATTTCTTTCACAGTACCTGCTTTCGGGGCAGGTATATATCTAGGATTTGACGGACAACGTGGAGCAATGTGGCCTCGAACTCCACATTTGTAGTAGCTGCGTTGGTCAGGCAATGGACAGTTGCGTACTAAATGTCCAATTTTCTTGCAGCGCGGACATGGATTAGTGATAGGGTTCGCGGAAGGTTTCTTTTCTATGAGGCGTGGCATATCCTTGTAGCCTCCTCTTGTATCCGTTGCAGGAACTTTGTAGTCATCGAGTGCCGACAAGAAATTTTCATATAATTCGTCAGGTCGTTCGCATTGGAATGCTCTCGCATTTGGTTGTAATGCTAGGGTCAAACCTCGTATGATGCAGGACACCGTAGCGATATGTGACAATTTGCTTCTGAAGCACAAAGCAACTTTTTCTTGATAATATTTTGTCATGCTTTCAGAAGGTAATTTTTTTCTATGAAGCATTTTTTCCAGAACATGAGCGTAGTCTCGATGTTTCGGGAACGCACGAAGAAGCATTTCTTTCCATTGCTCCCAAGAGCAGTCGTACTCATCGAGTCGATTATACCACTTTCTTGCCTGTCCTCTCAACTTGTCTTGAAGGTAGAATGATTTAGTTTTGTCATACCAGCCGTGGAT